TCCTCCTGCGCCGGCACCTCCTTCCTGACGATGACGTCATAGCCACGAATGCTGCTCGCACAGAGAACTCCATTCCTCGTTCGCATGCGTGCTTATGCAACAGAGCCCTATTTGATAATCGACGACGCGTCGTCGTGTCGATCGAGACAGGAAACGGGGGGCCTCGTTCTCTCCCAACATTTTTGGGAATAAAAATGTTTCTTTCTTTTCCGTAACGCTGACACGTTCAGTGAGGATCTTCAATTCATTTTGAGGCTATTCCAAAATGTCTTTTAAACTATTGAGCCCTTACTTTGGAATTTAATCTTTCTTCTGAAGACACTCATTAGAGTAATTAGAAAATACGAGTAGATGTTACGTTTCATGCTAAACTCAAACAGTAAGACAACTGACAATACTGACACTAACTGACAAGCATTCACTTCTCGGATGGTGTTTTATTTAAGAAGGTTAACCCTTCTTATACCCACTGCACCCAAGGAAGGGGTGCAGGAATGTCACCCACTATACACTTGAAATTTCATCATTCGACAGGGCAAATATTAATAGTTCGAATGATGCGAGTCTTGACTCTTTTATCGCCGGGAATGTCCCACTGGTGAATGGTCTACTTTCGACACATTTTCTCCTGTTATGTACATTTTTTTGGAATATACTGAAAAAATTCGCCCGCTGTAACCAATTTGTCAGGCCCCGAGGTTAGCATTTGCGAGTTTCTGGAATGCAGCTCGCGCCGCTCGTATAATGGACCCGTTTGCCTCGGGTAGAGAGCTGCTCGGTCGACGAAATTCGCACAGCCCGTCACGTCGACGCACGCGCCGAGAAGAAAAGAGTCGCTTCGAAGCGGCCGAACGAGATTCCGCCGTGGTGGCGATATGAAACTTGCTCGGAGATAAACTCGTGGGACCGAAATGGGATTCCGATCGAACGCGCTGATGCTCCGAGTTTTTCACTTTCCACGCGGTCTGGTATCTTCCGCGATACGAGAAGGGAAGCGGAGGTGATCGGGCTAGGAGGATGAGTCGTGGCCTCTGGTTCTTCTCACTGGTGGAATCATCGGTCGCTGGGCCTGAGAATCTATACAGTCGAACTCGGTTATAACGTCATCGAAGGGACCAGGTAAAAACCGTCGTTATGACTGAGGTTGCCTTGATTGGCACTCCGTTTTCCTGTTTTCAAAATTGATGTTATATAACGTTACAACTCCAGTTTACATTGGTGATACTGCACTAGCTTCAGTTTCAAGATTGACCGACTAATCGTGATGTTCGCATTTCTTTGGACCTTGAACTACTTTATACTTTAGCAAGGCTTTGTCGACGTTAGTTTCACTTCGAGCTTGTTCTATTAAACTAATCAAGCACACTTTCCTTTCAATCGTGAAGGCTTGCCTCTTTCGTTTTCCATTGGTCATGTTGTCAACGAGAAATGCAAATGGCGACTGAAGATAAGGTGATCTTACTTACTGGGGATTATTCCTCCCTAACATTGCTCCAGCCACACCCACATGACTCTCAAGGGATGCCGAATCCGGTAAATATAAAGTTATGGCTCGCCAACGCTAATTTTTCCGATGACGGAAATTTCCGATAAGAATGACGGATTAGGGACATGAACGTTGTCGATTTCGTTTGTGGGACCTTCAATGGACTTCGTTATAACCGAGGTTTCGTTATAACCGAGGTTTCGTTACAACCGAGTTCGACTGTAATAATATCCGTGTGTCCTCCGTCTGTCCGCCAGAGGCCTGCATGAGTCGATCTTTCCGAACCCACTCGATTCGAGTCGTGGTCCTGCCCGATCGCCAGACCGAGCTTTGCGGACCCCACCTGTAGGTCCGATCGAGCCGGTCCGCTCAGGCCTTTCAGGTTCAGAACTTGGTGTCTCTGGGTACGTCCCTTTTTCTAAGGGGCTGCTGACGCTTCCGGCCAGGGCCGGGTTAAGAAGTTG